GCCGGTATCCAGCTGACAAAGTGGCCACGATCGGTAGCCCTGATACAGTTCGCCTGCACCCATCCGCCGTGATCGGCACACTTGGACTTGGTGATACTGTAGAGATGGGAGAACTGCTCATAGGAGGGGCTCCCTTCGCCAGCCATGCCGAAGGCCGTTATCATTCCCATAAGGGCCACCCAGAAGTTGGGGTTGAATTGCCCCGGGGCGTAGCCGATCTGGGCTAGGATCCTCTGTACCGCCGGCTGTAACGGCAACCGAACGCCTTGCACAAAGACGTCGGTAAAGAAGACTACCTCGCCGTCCTTCAGCGCACTAAGAGATTCGGTAGGGCTCGGGATCCTCATCCGTACCGAGTCGGGAATGCGGTATTCTGCTCGAAATTTGGCAATCTCCCGATCGGTAATCTTCTTCGGCCCAAGATAGTCGATGCCGAATAAGTTTTCCTTCGGCACCCCCATGGGCATCCTAGGGTTGCTTGGGTACACTACCGATACCCTGGGCCCAGAGGGTGGTTTAGCTGCCGACTCTCCACGGCTGGAGGTGGAGGTCTCTGATTGACGGCTATCGCTCGCCTCCCCAGGCATACCGAGGCCCACATGGCGGCCGTCACTATAGACGATGGACAACGGGACGGGAGCGGTCATTAGCCCCTTTCCGACTCCGTGTGTTGGAATGGAGCTCCCACCCTCGGCGTCAGGCCCTGCCGCTTCGCCGTCGGAGTCAAAGAGACCGTCCGATGACTCCTCATCGAACGCATTGGGCTCGCGCTCGGAGAATGACTCGCTATCAGACATCTACAAAAACAGGAAAAAAGGAAACTAAGGCTCATGCCGGATGCTATCCTACCGATCCCTACATCGCTACCTATGGCGACTAGACTACCGAATGGAACCCTCTAGTTCGAACCAAGGAAGGACGTAATTCTTAAAGCATGCAGCAGACTAAGGAGAAAAGTGCCTAACGGTACCTTAATGTGTACTCTGGAAGACGAGCGCGATCTGCCCTTCAGAATGCTTCACTACCGTTCGAAATATCGGGAATCACCTTTCCTGCCGTTCGAAACGCCGGAAATCGCCTGGTTACCGTTAACACTCGTCGGAAATCGCCTGATTACCGGAAGCCCTCGTCGGAAATCGCCTCAGACAGAGCTCTCACTTCTCACTAGATACAAAGTGGATTCGCCTCCGGGGTCATCCCTATTTATAGGGGGGTGGTTGGCAACGGTACTCCTCGAAAAACCAAACAGCGCATTGATGCGCCGCGCACCATCATTACTTGCGCCACGTGTCGCTCATCTTGTGGGGAACAGACGGCACGCGAGGCGCGGAAGTCGAAGCGCTCAGACGTCCCTTCACCCGTCAGCTCGACGCGACCTTCTGACTTCGCCAACGTCAGCCTCTGAACTGATAATGCTGGAAGGGACAAGGTCTAGCCCCGTCCCCAAGATCGGGTTACCGAACGGTAGGGCCATAGTTCCTTCCGAAGACAACTTCAAATCCCCTTCCGAAGACTATCGCAAGGGGACTTGGGGGACTCCTGTTTATATCAAAATGAACAGCCAATGAATGTCGAACACGTGGGCTAAACCAGGGCCATGGAGTGCCTTCGGCACCTACCTTCGGCACCTACCTTCGGTACAAGACCTACCGTCGAAACATTAGGGCAACCTCGCCCCCTTGGATGCGTGGCAGTCCCACAATTGATGTCCAGAGTCCCACATCGAAATTCTAAACAAGTTGCAAGATGCTAAGCTGAAACAGCTATATCCAGCTACATATATCTGGAGAATTAGACAAAAAAAGGGCTTGTATATTACAACCATTTCATCTTGTGAATATGCACTCTCTTTATAATTTTAGCGGCTTATTAGAGAAAGGGTCGATAAGGCCAACAGATTTGGCTTTTAAATAGTACAGCAAGTTGTCCCATAGCACTTTGTCTTATGTGGGTTAGGGTTACGATCGTTTTCTTATTGACTGTCATCTATCACAACACAAAGTATCTTATCGACTGTCATCTATCACGAAGTATCGGAAGTCGTCAATTTGGTGAAGTTTTCTTGGAAAATCATGAGTCGACAAAAAACCTGTGTTGTCTGAAATAATAATGTCATGATGGTTTAGTGGAATAATAAATAGGTTTTTTAGGTTTTAGACATAAAAAAATTTTCACTTTTGGAAAAAGCCAAAGCTTTTTCAAAAAAGACAAAAAAACCACTCAACTTTCAAATCAAAGACATGCAAATGTATTGGATTCCTTAGGAAATCTAAAAATAAATAAGGGTATTTTTGTCCATTTTTGCTTCTTTTAAAATTTTTCTCTCTCCTTTTGCTTTTTCCAAAATGTCCCGATATAAATCCGCAGAACTGAATTTTGCTGTATGAGTTAGCAACTTGTGTAGGAGAGAGAAAGTAATGAGCTAGCAAGATATTTCTTACAATATATTAAAAAGTATATATGTATATATATATATATATATTTATATATATATATATATATAGAAATTGGAAACTTGATGGGTTACCAAGATTTCTTCCTAAATATAAGAATTTGAGAGTTGATAACTTGATGATCTTGAGCTAGTTTAAAACCTTAAATAAACCATTTTTTTGTTGCTAGTACTTATTCAGTGTTTTTTTTAACTCTTCAGTCAAGTAGGTAGTCAGAAGTTGATTTTAAATTTTTTTTTTTTCAAAAAAAACTTGGTTGATTTTATTTAATGTGAAAATAAATAGTAAAAAAATGATCAATTCAATGACTGAGAAGATTCTAAGATAGAAGATGATAGCAAACACATTTGTAAATAATTAATTAACTATTGTCCATGACGTGATTGATATTTTTGACTATTAGAATGAGGAAACATTCACTCATATACGTGGATTGATTATTCACATAATATCGTATCCAGTACCACACAATAATTACTCAACAACGAGGAAAAAAAAGAAGATAAGATCTTGTGTAGACATAATTATAGGTACACAAATGATAGAACGGTGGCAAATGAGCAAGGGAATTCGAAAGAAGAATCCAAGCTTTGGCTAGGATAAGGATGTTAGGAATTGCTAATCCATCATGAACGAGGGAATTCGAAAGATGGAAGTTGCAAGCAATGTATATAACCAACTCACAATTTCAGCTTTTAACAAACGACAATTATAGGTGAGATTAGGCATGCAAGTTGCTACTTGGGTTTAGGCATGCAAGTTGCAACTTGAGATTAACAAGTGGTCTTGACCCAAAAAAAAAAAAAAAAAAGAGATTAACAAATGGCACGCAAGTTGCAACATGGGATTACTCATTAATTGGAATTAACTTTAGAATTAAGCAGTTTAGGTGAGATTACCAATCGAATTCACTAGACTTTTTATATTCCTAAATAGTCTTTTTAAATTCCAATTGAATACATTCATATGGATTACTTCTCCACTTGTAGTTCAAGTTAGAGATCATCATTTGTGGCCCAAAGAAAAGTTATTTACAAAACCAATTACCTTCATTATATTTGTCAAATTTAATTCCCTAATTATGTGCTTAGGGTTTCTTTGATTTTCTTTGGGTTCTCGCTTTGCTTAAATGACAGCGTATAAGTGAGGAGCTCAAGAATTTTATCCTTTTCCATCTTGGGAGCCAGTAGGAAGACGATCAACAAGTATATGGCTTCAATTGCTGCTCCGATAGTGTTGATGGTCGACACCAAAATGTTCTTTGGAGACACAAGTGGCAGGCCGTACCTGTTGGATTGTTGCAAATACGAACTTGTTAATTCACTAAACTATGTAGGTCATGAAAATTTATTGATGCATACACAAATATGGTAATTAATGTTCTCTTATCAAACTTATGCTTAGAATGTGACGTGCGAAAATGAACTTAATCAATGTCTCGTATTCATTCCATATGAATAAGTCACCTTCTGTATTATTTGGAAGAAGAGATGAAGCCAATGAATAAGAGATTCAACTTTGTATTGCTTAGAGACCAAAGTATTTAATAAAAGTACCATGCACTGATCAAAGCCCAAGAAACAAAAAGACATACCAAGCCGCTGAAAGGAGCAAAGTCATGAGGTAAGGAATGCCCGAGAGGTACTGCTCTGTGAACTCATTCTTTTTCATGATGCTCTTCAATGTAGTCCTATTAGTATTAAACCAAAATCCTTAATTCAAATTAAAACATGATTTTGCATAAATGATTTTAAGCTTTGACAATATCTGAGCGTCCGTAGTGCATACATTGGCACCAAGAAGAGGAAGAAAGCGATCCCATTTCCTGCATCAAAGTAAAGAGGCATTAATCGATAAACAAAATCCGAGGAACAATCTAAGGTTGAAGAGAAGAAAAAAACAGGAACTGAAAACACCCCACCAAAGACTACTCGGAACAAGAACTTGAAGATATTCATGAAGTCTTTAACACCAAACATTCTGAAAGACAGCATGCAGTTAAGAAAGGAGAGAAGAGATCAAGCCCTGAGCCTGAGAAGGAAAATCCATTGTGAAAGAGATTGCGAAGCCATTTATACGCTTAAATTAATGAGAGAATAAATAAAGAAAATTAACAAAATATATAACAAGAGCAAGCCACCCAGCTTTTCCGGAGAGATTCCCCATGCAAAACTAATGCCTGCCTACCTACCGCTGACTAGCATAACTCCTACGCAACTCAACTCTTTACCGTTGGGAGATTACCCAAATTGTGATGACACATTTTCGGTTGCAACAAAATTGTGACTTGACCTAGTGTGAATCGAGTGAACTAGCTACAACATTCTTACCTAGCTAGTGGCATTTTAATTCCGAATTCTAGTAGTCTTTGGACAATATTCATAGTGGGATTTCTGTTTGGCAAATAGCAAATCAAGGAAGCATATCCTCGACTCATCCAGGGTGTGTTCTAGAAGCACCCAAATATATGGCCAAACAAATTAGATTTGTGCTTGGACTTGAAACATTGAATGATGGCTCTCTACTTATAAGAAGGTGCTGACCAAGGGACCAGTAGCTAGGTTTAAATTTCAAACTTGGAACGTTTGTCGAATGGCCGCGGCTCATGTTAGTAGTATTTATCTCTACTTCGTTATATTAAGTTTAAGGTTCAAATTTCATGTGGACTAAATTTTGATACATGTGTGTATAGGGAGGGTTGCCCCTCTCTTATGTACTGAATTCTGAATTTCGTTCAAAATTAATTATTATATTCAATTAAAAAAATAACAAAATTTAATCTGATTCTCTTTCGTTTTCAGCTGGAAAATCCAATTCCAACCGATGCGATTATTGAGTTTGGCACTGTCAGGCTGTTGTCAACTTGGTTTCAGGTGGATATATGTGTACATCATTCATTTCGCAAGCTAGATCACGCTATAACTCCTCCCACCCCCGAAACACAGATGAGATTGAATGCCAAATTATTATTTTGTTTTTAAATTTGTAAAGTTGTATTTTTTTTATTTCTGTAAACCCTAAACCCTTAATTATCATTTATGGTTCAAATTCCAGTAATGATATCAGAGGCAACCAAGGTCCAGGTCATAGAATAATAGAGGTCTCTGTATTGAAGTTCTTGAAGGCTGCATTGCCCTAAAGGGGAAGGAAGCTTGCAAAATCTTTTACTGGTTTGAGAGTGCGCCACAGTGTGTTGTCGACATATCTTAGCTATTACAGGATAGGAATGAATAAACTCCATGGCCGATACAATCCCAATTATTTTATCTGAACAACCACCTAGTAGGAAAATCAGAGTTAAATATGGACGAAACTACACGTTATTAATGAGGTGTTTCTTTATTTATGGCAAGTTCATATGAAATTTTAGCCGTTGTTGTGATTAGGGGTGGGCACGGTCCCGATTGGTTCGGTTTTACTCTCATACCACAGTTGAACCAATAAGAAAATAACGGTCCGGTTTGGTTCAGATTAGCCTAAAATCAAAATGGAAACCGAACCAATCCAAACCACTTGCAATCGGTTTGGTTCGGATTGGTTTGGCCGGTTTGTGCCTAACACAACCATGCATTTTTCAACCTGCTCTTACATTATAATACTAATATTTTGCCATTATATCTTTCCATTCCATTAAAGGCTAATACAACAACATTCCATTTATTCAAAAGCTGTCCAATGTCTAGCATGCATCTAAGTTCACAATTTCCATCAAAACAAACATTCTCAAGTTCATAAGAAATGAATACAAGATGATAAAACTAAGAAAAGAAAGGCTGCCCAAAATACAAGTTCATGATTTCCATTTATGAAAAGCTGTCCAATTTCCATCATGCATATAAGTTTACAATTTCCATCAAAACAAGCATTCTAAAGTTCATAAGAATGAATACAAGATGATAAAACTAAGAAAAGAAAGGCTACCCAAAATACAAGTTCATAATTTCCATTTAATCAAAAGTTGTCCAATTTCCAGCATGCATATAAGTTCACAATTTCCATCAAAACAAACATTCTAAAGTTCATAAGAAATGAATACAAGATGATAAAACTAAGAAATGAAAGGCTATCCAAAAAACAAGTTCATAATTTCCATTTCATTGAAGGCTGCCCAGTTTCCAGCATGTCCCCATACTACACATAAAAGCAGTTTTAATCAACACAAATTTTAGGATACAAGATGATCAAAATAAGAATCAAATAAGAAAATTACCATATTTGCAAGGTTGTGCATCAATAGAGAATCAATCAGTGAAAATGTGCACAGGCGCATTAGCATTTGATCTCCGCATTTCTATATAAAAAATATACATAATCATATATTTAGCTTTAGCAGAATAATACTCACATGTTATAAGCAATTAATCGAGAAAAATATATATACCTGACTCAATTGTTTCATAAAACTCCATCTCCTCAATAGTGGGCTAAACTTTTAAAGATATTGAAGTGGACTTCAACCAATTTTGTGTACAAATTAAGGCCTCAACCATAGTAGGACTCCAGGAACTACGAAATGAGTTAATTGTTCTCCCTCCCGTGCTAAAAGTAGATTCTGAAGCAACTGTAGAGACTGGAATTGCAAGCACATCTCTTGCAATGACCGCTAAAACTGGATATTTAGAAGCATTCACCCTTCACCAATTTAAAATATCAAATTGTTCAATATCTTCTTCTGCTGCATCCGACAAATACCTATCTATCTCATGAGATAAAAGCACTGCCTCTTTATCTTCTTGTCTCTTTCTTCACTTTTCCTTCATAGCCTTTTTCCTATCACCTCCAAAGCTTGAGGAGTTAGAACTATCAGTCACAATGCTATTGCCAATACTTGAGGATGTAGTAGAACTACTAAAATTTTGAGTTGGATTACTAACAAAACCTGCCTCGTACAACCCATAAAGTTTAAACAAAAGATCTCTCACACCAACTGTCTTCTCGCCAACATAAGCATCATTTTCCACATACAAATCAGCAATATGCATTGATAAATTGTCCAATTTATACCTAGGATCAAGAACAACAGCTATCAACAAGAATTGGTTCACACTATCAAGTGATCCCCAATACTTGTCATATTTCAATTTCATATTTTGAGCCATGTTAGATAGAAGAGGATTGTCTACTACACTCAATTCGGCCAATTCACAATCAATTGCAAATAAGTCATGACAAGTAGTATGGGCTGTGGCATGCAAAGTGGCACTACACCTCAAAGTGAAGTCATAAAAACTTTTTAAAAACTTGACAAAGACGACAACGTTTGCCCAATCCTCCTCAACCGGTGGTGTATTTCCTATACAAAATTAGCTTTTAAAATGCCCATCCTCATCTTCCAAACTAGAAAAAGCCTTTTTTAATTTCAAAGCAGCTTCTAGCATCATGTAGGTGGAATTTCACCTAGTTGGCACATCCAAGACAACCAAGCCTTTACAATCAATCTTATCTTTTTCAACGCAAGATTTAAAAGTTTCTAATCTTTGGGGGGAAGATCTTACATACATGACAGCATCACGAATACTCTTAACAAAATTATGTAACTCTTTCAAACCATCGGTTACAATGAGGTTTACAATATGAGCACAGCATCTCATATGTAAGTGGACACAATCTAACAACAAACCTTCATTTAGCCAATCCTTCATCTTATTTTGCAAATAAGATACAGCTTTATCATTTGCAGATGCATTATCTAGGGTAATTGTGAGTACCCTCTCTATACCCCAATCAATCAAACACTTCTCAATAAGTCTGCCAATTGTCCTAGCCTTGTGATTTTGAATTACACAGAAATTCAACACATGCTTATGCAACATCCAATCACCATCTAGGAAATGTGCAGTGAGAACCATATAGTTTATATTTTGGACAGATGTTCATGTGTCAGTAGTAAGGCATACTCTATATGCAGCTAACTTTGCTTTCAAAAGTTGCTTTTCATCATAGTAAAGTGCAAGAAAATCTCTAGCAAGTGTTCTGCGAGATGGGGGTATAAACCTAGGGCATGCAACACTACAAAAGTGACGAAACCCTTCTCCATCTACGAAACTAAATGACAACTCATCAATAATAACCATCCTAAGACATGCTTTCCTAGATTCTTCCTTATTAAATCCCGCTGCCCCAAGAGCGGTAATACTTCCAGATTGGTCCTTGGCAAAAGTTAGGACCTTTTGGTTTGAACCAGGCACCCTATATGGGTACTTTTTGCATAAATTAGTAATATGAGTTCTCAAACTAATACGTTCAAAAGGATTACCAGTTTGATATTGTTCAAAGTGATTCCACACCTCACTTGGTTTCCTAGTCGGTTTTCTCTTTTTTTGGGAAGGTAACGGTGGAAGTTGATCAGATGCACCAGTCTAAGCTTGAGAGTTCACAATCACTGGTGTAGATTCAGTCATAGGTGGAAGCTGATTAGAAGCAAAACCTTCTTCCACCCCCTGGTTTACCTCCATCTATATAATCAGAAAAATTGGACGTTAAAAAAATTGCACCTTAATCAGACAAATTGCACAATAATCAGCAAAATATTGCACCTCATCATGAACATTAAATAAATTAGAAGAACTCACCATCGTTGGCACTGAGTTAGCTTCATCCATTGTTGGTACTGAGTTAACTTCATCCATCGTTGGCACTGACACGAGTACGTTTGAATCAATGGAGGTTGAAGCTGGAGAATCAGATATTTGGCAAGCAGCGAGAAATCTGATATTTGGCAAAAAATAAAGAGCTGTAATTTAAATGTAACTTGATCTAATAAATTATCAACATAGGATATAAAAAGAATTAAGACACCCACAACTCATATAGACAACAAATAGAAAAGAAATTGAGTTATCAATATTATCAATGATAGTTATGGACAATATGTGCAGATTCAGTGCCTTTGATAGCTTCTGTTATGGATATGTTTGTTAAGTTATTTGGAATATGTTAAGGAACATATTCCTAAGATACCTTCCAAATTACTATTTATGGTTCTTCTAAATTCCAACAAGCACTTAACAAACATATCCCTTATCAAAATAGACGAGTTGGGACAAGGGATCTAAAATAACTTAGGCTTTTCCAGAAGTAGAGAAGAGGAGATTCAGGGTTGAAAAGAATGCAAGGCAAGATACCTTGGGTTTCAAAATAGTATATATGCAACAAACAGCGAATAGCTATGACACAATCATATCTTTTGGCCAGTCGCCATATCCAATACCATTGTCCACATAAAATTGTGAAAAATTGATTCCAGAGAAGAAAACTGACAAAATAAATGAGGAAAAACATAGCAACTAAGAGAGAGACCTAATAGAGAGACCCAAGAAAAAACAGAACAACACAGTCTCGCCACTGGCTTTGCACATTAATCCATATATGACTTATTTCATTCTTGATTTATTTTAAGTATTCCCAATATCCCTCCAGTTCAAAGCTCTTTTTATGATACAACACATCATATACCAAAATTTTCTGGTTAATTGCTAACTTTCAAATTTGAACTTCTTAAGATAATATGATCATATATATAGATAAACCCATAACTAAAAGTTCATTCAGAGAAATTGAAATCAGAACCATCAAAAGAAAAATATGTAGATAATCAGAAATAAAATATTAGAACATACACTTCTTGGGCTTCTCGAACATCAATCAATTGTGCGACGATGACGCTGGTGTGCGATGATGACGCTTGTGTGCGACGATGACGTTGGTTGTGCGGGGATGACGATGGCTGTGCGACGATGACTTTGGCCGTGCGATGATGATGATGGCTGTGCAACGATGACGATGGAGGTGCGATGCCAAAGAGATTTTTGCTATGTGAGAATGGGTTTGATTGAAGCAGTGGAGGTGTGGTGGTTCAAATCAATGGTGGCTTTTCTAGGGTTGAAGTGGGTTGAGTGAGGCTGTGTGTTCAAGGAAAAGGAGCTTCTGGGATGATGTTTGAGTTTGAAAACAGGTGTACACTAACACTTCTAAGTAGCCACTCAACCATTGACACATGTAAATTAATATATATATATATATATATAAATATATATAAATAATTAATATTTAAACGGTTCGGTTCGGATTAACACAGTTTTTTAAAACATAAAACTGCAGCTAAACCAAATCAGTCAGGTTTGGTTCGGATTTTAAAACTGTTCACTTTTGTAAATTCAAAACCAAACCAAACCGGAAAATACGAATTGGTTCGGCTGGTTTGATCGGATCGGCCGGATTGATGCCCACCCCTAGTTGTGAGTGCCCTATGAGCTAGGTTAAGTGTTGCATGAAGGTTTCAAACATGGTAGTCAAATGCGATTTTTTTTTCTTGTTTTCAGAAATTTATATTCATAAATGCTAGCAACATGGTGGCAGTTAATTTTTCATGGTTGTATAAGTTTGCTTTTTTGTTTATAAATGGAAGGCAATGATGAGATACTTAGAAGTTACCTGATGCTTATGTACATCTATAATATGGATATATAAATCAGAAACTTAATTTAGGGAAAGTGGTATGTGTTTTATACACTGAAATGAATGACTCAAAATGTTTGGCCATAAAAAAAAGGACTCAAAATCAGGGACGGATCCAGGAATTGCAAATCGGGTTTTACCTTAAGTACAAATGTATTAAGAAAATTTGGTGAGTTTTGTGGATTTTGGTTGGTCTTTGTAGATTTTTAGGCTTGGACAATAGATTTTAGGAACTAAAAACTAGAGGTAACCCACAGGGGTGGCTAAATTTTTTTTTGAGTAAATCATAAGCCCTAATTAGTTATATTTTTATTTTATATAAGCACTCTTTTTTCAGTATATTTTCTTCATCGTATTTAGAACTTTTTGTTATTATATGACATTTGAAATAGAGAAAATGTTGAAATTATTAATAATATTGTTGAAATATTTGGAAGGGATTGAAGGGAAACAAAGAAAGAAAAAAGAAGAAGATATTTATAAGGAATTGAAGTTAAAAAAGAAAGTAATAATAAAATAAAAACATCTCATTTTGTGGGGCAGTGCTCCTAACAAAATAAAAACACATCTCATCCCAACACATATCTCCCCCCACTCTTTTTTTTTTAATCTCTCCCTTTCTTTTTTTTATATTCTTTTTTCCTCTCTTTCTCTCTCTCCCTCTCCCTCTTTCTTTATTCTTTTTCCTTCTTCCTCTCTTCTTATTTTCTTTCTTCTCTCTCCGTCTGCTCCATCTCTCTGTTCTTTCTTCTTGCAGCTTTGGGATGGGCTATCTCCATTAACTTTTTTTTTTTAATCTTAAGAATACTATATGGTATTACAAATACAAAAAAATATTTGTATGGGTTGTAGTCCAAACAGCCCACTATGTGGATCCGTCCCTGCTCAAAATGTCATTTAAATTTTGCAATTGCATTCTAATTACATTTAGATTAAATTGTATATAATTAATTGGGGATTTCTTTTTAGTTTATACAATTGACTTATTCTTGTACAATTAGGTTTTATTACCTTTCTTTATGTACACATATGTAACCCTACATATACCTCCTTAAAGCACTTTCACCCGTTTGCCATGGCAAAGGGCAAGGGCAAGTAAGGGTAGACACTATTCATGTGAATAGTGACTGCCTTAGCAATTTTTTTATGCATTCCCACCCGTTGCCATGGGAACCCAAGGACAACCACTATTCACATGGGATATAAGGAGAGGAATTTGTATGGATTTTGGTGTGGAAAGTAAAGAACATGGCTAGGTATTTATAGAAAAAAAAAATCTGAATTTTTTGGTATTTAAATTGGTCACTGACGTCACATTGACGTCAACTTGCCCAGTTTCATGGCCCACTTCTTGCCATAACAATTTTTCTTAGGATCAAGGTTGTTTTTAGAGCTTAAGCCCCCTTTTGCCATGGCAAAAGGAGATGGGGTGGATGTGCTATGTGACCTTGAATTTGTGTTACAACCTTAGCCCTATCACTTAATGAAAATTAAATCTTTGTACAGCTGACTTATCCAAATTTCATATCATCAATCTTCTTATTTTTAGATATCTATACGCATTAATTTATAATCCAGCAAACAAAAAAAGGGAAAAAACAGAAGAAGAAGAAATTGAAGTACAAGAGCCATGCGACAAGATTGCCAACTTTTACCAGCAAACACTTTTGCCTTGGCCGCATAATTTCATTATCACCGAAAGTGGTTTGTGCCTTATTATTAGTGGTGGCACAAGAGTCATGTAAATTTAAGTCCATGAAATGAAACAGCCTCACACTGTTATAATCACCCTTACCAAAACAAGTATCTTTTAGTGTTCTAGATTTTGGAGGGGTTCCCACTATTAGACCTTTTCAATTGATTTGATATCTTTTCTCAACCGAACGTTCGTACGTTATTACTTTGCGAACACTATTATAAATAGGGTGTAAAATATAAATGGATGGAAAAAAATATATGACGAGAAAATATATATTTATAGGGTTTAGGGAAGGAAGATTGAGATATGGAAGGTGCAGTGTTTTTGCATGAAACAAACAAACAACCGAATTTATGCATCCAATTTGCAAGTTGCAATTTGATGGGTGAGAGTGACAAGCTAAGAACTTTTCCAATTCACATCACCAAAACAACAGATTATTACGTAACTGAATTTTGCTATATAGAGAACTTGGTCACTACTGAACCAGACTACCATATCATCACGTCACATACGTACTGGTATTACTCTCGCTCTCTCTCTCTCTCTCTCTCTCTCTCTCCCCCTCTCATGCCAAGATTTTAACCCACACGACCCAATAACATATTATAGCCCATAAAGTTTGATCGGAAATTAGACTCTATCCAAATTCTTCCGACTTTTCAATTCAATGTACCACTCCATGTATGGCTCAATGTCACTTTTCTACACAACAGTTGTTAGGCTTAACCAAAGAGAGTTATTAGTGGCACTCCAAAAAAAATCATCATTGGCTCCTTTAGTATTTCTTAGAGTGCTAGTAAATTACCTTTGTTGACGACTAAAGTACTACGTCAGAACATACGTCAATAAGGCTTCAAAAAAAAAAAAATTATAAACCCGAAGCTCTTTAAGGATTGAAGTATGTCAAAAGGTACTTAAAAACCTCAGAGTAATATTAACCTTTAAAATCACAAACCATCCAAAAAACAAAAAGTGTAAATGAAATGGAGAAAAATGATTTGGGAGTCCTTATCATGTTAACATTAGGATTGATGGTCAATCCGCAAGTTGTAGTCCAAGAACTTCAAGTTATTTTGCATGAGATTGAGGCAGAAAACATGGTTTTAAGTGAGACTTTCCAAGTGGCTACAATCATTGAAAAATTGCCACCATCCTGGAAAGATTTCAAGAATTATATAAGCGCAAAGAGACTGGATTTGAAGATCTGATCATGAGGCTAAGGATTGGGAAGATAACCGTGGTTCTGAAAATAAAACCAGTGGTAACTCCATGGTGGCTGAAGCACATGTAGTGGAGGATGGGCCAAAGAACAAGAAAAAGAGGAAGCACGCAGGCAAAGGCTTTAGGCAAGGAAACTCACAGAAAAACAAAGGGTTCAAGGGCAAATGCTTTAACTGCAACAAGCATGGTCATAGAGCAGCGAACTCTCAAAGTAAGGGAAAAACTACAGAAGTTCACATGACTGAGGAGGAGAAATTGTCAATGAGATATTTGATATCAGCCTATCATAATCTCTAAAGTGACCTTAGAAAGCAATACCAAGGAATGGTGAGCGGACACTAGAGCTACATGCTACATCTTTTCTGATAAGAAGATGTTTACTACGTATCAACAATTGAACTAAGGGGAGTAACTGTTCATGGGAAACTCATCAACTTCCAAGGTTGAAGGACAAGGAAAGGTGGTTATGAAGATAACTTATGGCAAGAACTCACCCTAAATGAAGTGCTTCATATGCCTGACATTTGGAAGAATTTGGTTTCTGGAGCGCTGTTAAGCAAGAATGGTTTTAAATTGGTCTTTGAGGCTAACAAATTTGTATTCACTATGAATGGGATGTATGTGGGGAAAGGGTACTTGAATAACAGTTTATTCAAGATGAATGTAATGACTATTATACCTTCTATGAATAATAAGAACACAATTAGTTCGGCTTATATTCTTGAGTCCCCAAATATTTGGCACGGTAGACTAGGACATGTTAATTATGATACTATTCGTAGATTAGTTAACATGGATTTATTATATAAGTTTAACATTGATACAAGTAAAAAATGTGAAACTTGTGTTGAAGCTAAACTTACTAAACATCATTTCATTATATAGAAAGAAGTACAAAACCTCTAAATTTAATTCACAGTGACATTTGTGATTTAAAGTTTGTGCAGACTAGAGGTGGTAAAAAGTACTTTATTACTTTTATAGATGATTCACAATATATTGCTATGTCTATCTACTTAAAAGCAAAGATGAAGCCTTAGAAATGTTTAAACATTATAAGAGTGAAGTTGAGAATCAACCTAGCAAAACGATTAAGGTTTTAAGAAGCGATAGAGGTGGTGAATATGTAGCACATTTTGCTGAGTTTTGTGCTTAACATGGAATTACTCACCAAACTACTGCTCCTTATTCACCTCAACAAAATGGTATTGCTGAACACAAGAACCATACATTAAAAGAAATGATGAATGCTATGTTGATAAGTTCTGGAGCATCCCAGGATTTGTGGGGAGAAGCATTGCTTTCCATAAATCACATTCTCAACAAATTATTTCACAAGAAGTTGGAAAAGACACCATATGAATTATGGAAAGGACGAACACTTTTGCCTTGGCCGCATAATTTCATTATCACCGAAAGTGGTTTGTGCCTTATTATTAGTGGTGGCACAAGAGTCATGTAAATTTAAGTCCATGAAATGAAACAGCCTCACACTGTTATAATCACCCTTACCAAAACAAGTATCTTTTAGTGTTCTAGATTTT